CAGACTTAGCGCCGAGTCACTGGGGGGAGGGGAGTTTGTTATTGGACTAAATCACTGAATAATCTTTTAATTGATCATAACTTTTGTATCAAATAAATCAAGAAAGTAGCATATGTAATAGCTGCGTTTTAGATAAAACAAAATTGAGTTTCATTAATTTATTATTGTCATCATGTGTCTTTATCACTACAAAACCTAATACTGATTTAATGACACGCGAATATCGGAGAAGGTGCACTTAATAATAAATGATGGAGTTACTGCAGTAGTAATGTTAGAAGTTAAACCTTCTTACGTCAGTATAAAGTAAAATGCACAATCATAACATCTTCTTTATCAGGAGTGAACGATTCTGAAAAGAAGTATATATTTATAACTGAGCGATTAATCAAAAATCATTTTCTTTTCATAGTGGTTCATAATAGGGTTCGCTTAGGAATTTTACAAAAAATTCTAATAGAACACACGGACAAAAACCATCTGAAAAATAGACTTTTTCTCGAAACAACACTCAGGGTCTTCTATCTCAATGGTGCTAAAATATTGATAATAACAAGAAAGTTGATTTTTCGATTGTAAGACAAAATTCAACATTCACCCATTTGTTCTTCATATTATTATTATTCATATTATTCTTGTTTCAAGACCTACAGAAGAAACGGCTATGAATGTTTCATTCAAACCTGGATAGATATACCAAAACAACTCTTGTGCAAGTCAAAGGTCTATTTTTATGTTGATTCTTGAAAGAGAAAGAGAGATTTTATCAGTTTTTTTTCATCGCTACTGGCCTAGTTTCGCTTCGAAGCCATTCAAGCACCGAAGCCTACAGAACAAAAAGCTAGGTATACTGCGCCAAAATCTATGCACAGCTACTAAACAAACGCCTGCGAAAGTTGTAGGGCTATTTTAAAGTTTATTCTTGAAAGTCGACATTTCTATCCTCTATAATTTTCTAAGTTCTTTTTCATTATCAACACAAGCTCTTCGAAGCCATTTAATTTAAGCACCG